AATGTTTCTACAGCAAGTTTTGCTGTTACTGGACAATTTTCACACAAATCGATCAATGATATTAGTTAGATTTTTCACATTGTGTCTACATTCTCTTTCACTGCCTTCTGGTTGTTCCATTTCTGGTACTCTAGTTTCCCTATCCTTTTCTCACATTTGTTTTGGGGTCATTGTTGACCTTTTGGTTTTTCATCATACTCATGAATGTTATTTTTTATTTGGTGTGTCCATCTGCTTTCCTGCTAAAAGGGGATCTGAGGGGACCACTTTTGTGAAATGATTTTCTCAGGCAGTTCTCTGGTCTCATCGCTGATCTTTGTTATGGATGCCGGTCTCCAGGCCTTTCTTCTGCATTGCTTCTGGGTAGGTTCAAACTGCCAACCTTTCCATTAGTAGCCGATTGCAAACCATCTACTCCATTCAGGAACAAACTAGGGTCTCCTTACCTTGAGTGGTCTGTTACAGAATGTTCGCTATAATGTCTCCTGCAGCCCAGAATTTTCCAGAAGGCAGAGCTGGTGGGTGGCCTGAGTGTGCTGGTTCTGTCTGTTGCTGCAGGCAGGGCCGAGGCTCCCTCATCTATGTGGAATGTGTGGTCACATTCTGCTCCTTCCCGAGTTTTTGCATCCTGCCATCGAGTCCTTGTTCTTCGTCCCTAACCTTGACTTGTCCCTGACTGAGCTGAAGCGCTGTTCTCCATGTACAGCCCCTTACGTCTCAAGACATCCCCAGCAGTTAAGTCATGCTTAGGGAAACAGATGTGCCAGCAATGTTTGCTGAGAAGAGAAGCCTCTCTAGAGACTTCTATTTCCAACACGAGCTCAGGAAACTTGTCTGACCAGGATGATGTTGAGGTAATTACAGAAACCTGATGAATGCATATATTTATTTAAATCATGTAAACGAATGCTTATATCATCACACTAAAACATTGGCCTAGAACGGAACTCACCTCTGTGGCTCAACTTTCCACCAAACAATTGCCAGATCTGTATGGGAAACAAAGACTCCCCCCCCAGTGGTGCAGTGACTAAAGCAAGGTTGAACTGCAAGGTTGGTGGTTCAAACCCACCAGCCGCTCCAAGGGAGAAAGATAAGGCTCTTTTCTCCCATAAAAATGTACCGTTTCAGAAATCTTAAGGAGCAGCTCTACTCTTGTCCTACAGGGTTGTTTTGAGTCATAGTGATAAAGGGACTTTTTGCAGGGTGAACAATCACACCACGGAGATACTCACTCCTGAGAACAATCAACCATGTGAGATTAAAAGGCAGCATTTGCCCAGGGAGAAAGCTCAGAAGGCAGCAAGGGATAGTAATGGAGGCAGAATGGAAATAGGAAACCCAGGAAGGAAGTGGAAAGAGTGCAGTCGGTCAGTCACACTGTGGAGACTGCAACCAATGTCATGAAACAAAATGTGTATGGATGGTTGAATGGAAAAACTTGTTTGCCCTGTAAACTTTCATAGTATTTAAAAAAAAAAAAAAAAAAAACGGCAGTGAAAAATTTTACCTAACTAACTGGAAAATTAGAGGGCTTACAAAAATCAAGAGTAGAAATTAGTGTGGTCCAGTGGCTGTTTCTTTCACCATACTTATTCAATCTGTATGCTGAGTAAATAACCTGGATTTTATGAAGAAGAATGTGGCATCGGGCTTAGAAGAAGACTCATGAATAACCTGCACTATGCAGATGGTACAACCTTTCTTGCTGGAAGCAAAGAGGACTGAAAATCCTGATGAAGAAAGATCAAAGCCTATAGCCTTCAGTATGGGTTGCACCTCAATATAAAGAAAACAAAAATTTTTACAACTAGACCAATAAATAATATCAAGATAAAGAGAAAAGATTGAAGTTGTCAAAGACTTCATTTTACTTTTCACAGTCAACACTCATGGAAGCAGCAATCAAGAATGAAAGGACATATTGTATTAGGCAGATCTGCTGCACAAGACCTTACAGTGTTAAAGGACAAAGATGTCACTTTGAGGATTAGGGTGGGCACTGTCATCTTTACTAAAGCAAAGCACTGGCTTTTTGGTTACCAGCCAAGCATTTAACCACTGCGTAACCAGGGCTCCCCATGAGCAAGAAAACTGTATGTGGCAGCGTTATGTCGCATGTGGGGTCCACAACAGCAACAACTTTCATCACAAACATGAAGGTGAGAGAAGAAACAGAGAGAGCCTTCCCCGTCAGACGCCCCATCAGTTCAAACTGGAAGTCTCCCTACAGCAAGCAGGAACTGTACCTGGGATCTCAAACAGCTTTAAACTTGCTTCCAGAGGACTAGAAAATACATTTTAAAATCCACAGACTTTGGTCTGGGTTGACAGATGCCTCTAGTGTCCCAACCTTTGTAACCTGCAGTGTCATTATTACCTGTGTCATTATTACCTGGAAGCTCCATGCTGCTGCCGTCTGTGGTACACAGAGTATTTCAGCATGGGGACATGTGGTGCAGGGACAGTGGTGCCCTGAGATGGGCTCATCAACCCTAGTGAGAAGGCGTGTGGCCCAGAATTCCGGGAGGTTGCTTACATAATAGTAAGGTCTTTGGTTTGGACCAAAGCCTTAAGTCTTCTCCCATAAAGGTAACAGCCGAGGAAACCCTATAAGCCAGCTCTTCTCTGTCATACAGGGTCTCTGTGAGTCGGGATTGACTCGATGGATCCCAACAATAGAGCACAGACTTCCTCAGACCCTGTGGGCACCCAAGTCCAGGCCTGTTTTAATTCCTTCCAAACTGCCCTGCTGCTGGCTTTGAGAGGTAATCGGGGGGCGGTGAGGAAGGGGGATGGGGGCCCCCACACAGTTTTAAGTGACTACCTGGGTAATGACCGTGCTCAATTTTGCCTCTCACATTTTAATTGTACAACAGTAATTTTGTGATAGAGTTGCCGATGGCAAACATGCAGAAGACATTAACTTTATTTATGTTTTGGATTATTAATGTGGCTGTTAAAATTCCTCCAGTTAGTTTTGATTGAATTGTTTTCTGTGTGATTCTGTTGTTTAATGGAGCGGTAAATAAGAATTTCTGATAATGAGGACAAACATCTGCACAGCAGCCTGGTGTGGGTTATTAACATTTCCATGAACGGCAGGGTGGGCAGTGCTAATACGGCATCCGCACAGTTAGAACAAAATAAATAGGCGGTGTCGGGCCGAGTGGGCGTTAATTACTATTTTATTCTATGTTGGGTGGGGGAGTGTAGAAACAGTGACTTCTGAAGGTCATTTTCTTCCAAAAGCCCACAGGTCACGGCATCTTCCAGAGAGAGGAGCTGCTTTATTGCTTCCTTTGGTGGTCAGTGAACAGAGCCCAGGGCACCCTGGTTGTAGTGGTTGAGCACTTAGGTGCTAACTAGAAGTCCTGTGATTGGAACCCACTAGCAGCCCCAAGGGACAAAAACCTAGTGATCTGTTCTTGTAAAGATCTGAAACATCAGAAACCCTAAGGAACAGTTGGACTTGTCCAGTAGGTTCACGTTGAGTCAGAACCAATTTGGCAGCAATAGAGGTGGCTTTTGGTTTCCAGGCATACCTCATTTTACTGCTCTTCGCAGATACTGCAGTTTTTACAAAGGGAAGTTCATTAGCAACCCTGCGTCCAGCACGCCTATTGGGGACCATGTTTCCAACAGCCATGCTTTCTTCCTGCCTCTGTGTCCCCGGTTGGTCATACTCACTTTACCCCAACTTTTTTCTCATGGTATTTAATGCTGTTTCTCATGGGAGAAAGATGAGGTTTTCTGCTCCTGCAAAGATTCAAAGCCTCAGAGACCCTATACAGGGTCACTGTGAGTTGGAACCAACTCCACAGCACTTAACAACATTCAGTGCACACTTCATAGATGACTGTTTAGTGTGAACATCGCTCTTACACATTCTGTGAAACCACATTCGTGTGGCTCGCTTTGCTGCGATCCTCACTGTGTTTCAGTCTCTGTGAGGTCTGTCTGTAATCCACTCGATGGCATCTGACAATAGGCGATCTGGTGGTACAACTCTAAAGTGCTCAGCTGTGGATGGAGAGGTCCTCAGTAGAAAGATGGGGCAGTCTATTTCCATAAAGAAGCACAGCCTCGAAAGCTATGGGGCAGTGTACTCTATCCTACAGGTGGGCTGTGAGTCAGAATCAAGTGGACACACTTCTAAGACAGATGTGTTTGTTCTTCTGGCACTTCATGGCATTTTCAGTATTCTTCACCAACACCATAATTCAAATGCATCAATTCTTCAACAGTCTTCCTTGTTCATTGGCCAACCGACATGTGCATATGAGGAAATTGAAAATACCAGGGTGTGGGCCAGGTACACCTTAGTCCTCAAACTGACAGCTTTGCTCTTGAACACTTGAAGAGGTGTCATGCAGCAGATTTGCCTAAAGCAATATGTTGTTTGATTTCTTGAGTGCTGCTTCCATGAGTGTTGATGGTGGATCCAAGCAAAATGAAGTCTAGTTTCGGAATGAATGTGGTAAGAAGCCAGAGTGGCAACTCCCAGACACCAGGACACCTCATCCCATCGAGGCAGCCTCAGAGACTCATCAAGCTCAGAGTCCTTCATAGGTGCAAATGGCTAATGAGCTCAGCTGCTGACCAAAAGGTTGGAGATTTCAGTCCACTCAGATGTGCCTCAGAAGAATGGCCTGACAATTGACTTTTTAAAAAAGCAGTCCTTTCGAACACAGTCCCACTGGGACACACCCGGGGTCTCCTGGAATCACAGTGGACTAGGGACTCCACGGTGACTGAAATGGTACAAGGCCATCTTTGTTTAGAATGCTTTGCTCACTGTATGTATCTCAGCGAAATCGGTTTTCTTTGTAAGCTTGTGTGTTTCACTTTATGAATTTCAAAGAGTTATTCCCAGAAGGGTTCCTGGCACATGGAGGTCCTGGGGCCACTCAGATGGGATGTGAGTGAACCCACCGTTGGAAGCCACCCCCCATCAGCCTCCAAGTCTCCCTCAGCCCTTTCTCTCACTCTCTCCACAGCCCCAGCGATGCCGCCCCAGAGTGTGCGTGTGAATCCCCTCACGGCCAGCCAGCTGGAGGTCACGTGGGACCCGCCACCCCCAGAGAGCCAGAATGGGAACATCCAAGGCTACAAGGCAAGCTGGTGCTCCAGCGTGTGGTTGGGTCCCCTTTCTAGATCACTGTGTGCTGGCCCCTGTGGCCCCGCCCCGGGTGGACTTTGTCCTCCTGTACCCCCTTCAAAGATGCACAGCACCGGGAGCTGGGTGTGGGTGAGCAGCTGGCCCTGTCTGCTGACCTGGGGAAGGCTGGAGGGTGAAGGAGGACTCGTGGTCACGACATCTGGTCTGGGGACCCTTCCTGTTCTCACCCCTTCTCTGGAACCCTCGGTACTTGCTGTTGCTATGGGTACCATCAAGTCGATTCCAAATCATAACAACCCTACAGGCCCAGTAGAACTGCCCCATGGGGTTTCCTAGGCTGTAAATCCTTATAGAAATCAGGTCTGATGGGACAGTACATAAGCACATGACTACTAACAGAAAGGTCGGCAGTTCAAACCCACCCAATGACTCCTCAGGAGAAAGAGCTGGTGCCCTGCTCCCATAACCCTCTGGGGTAATTCTACTTTGTCAGAATCAACTCGATGGCAATGGATAATCTTGATGGAAACAGATCACCAGATCTATCTTACACAGAGCCGCTTGTTGTTATGAGGTACCGTCAAGTCAATTCCAACTCATATGACCCTATGCACACAGAATGCACACAGCCCAGTCATGCGTCATCATCACCACTGTTGCTGTGTTTGAGCCCACTGTGCCACTGTGGCAATGCTTTTCCTAGGGGTCTTCCTCTTTTTCATTGACCCTCCACTTTACCAAATGTGATGTCCTCCAGGGGCTGGATTCTCCTGACAGCGTGTCCAAAGTCTTGCTACCCTAGCTTCTAGAGAGCATTCTGGCTGCGCTTCTTCTAAGACAGATTTGTTTGTTCTTCTGGTAGTCCATGGTACTTTCAATATTCTTCACCAACACCATAACTCAAATGCATCAATTCTTCTACAGTCTTCCTTATTCATTATCCAACCTTCACTTGCGTAAGAAGCAATTAAAAATACCATGGCTTGGGTCAGGTGCCAGGTTCACTTTAATCCTCCAACTGACATCTTTGCACTTGACCACTTTACCAGAGGTCTTGTGCAGCAGATTTGCCTAATGCAATATGGCATTTGATTTCCTGACTGGCTGCTTCCATCAGTGTTGATGGTTGAGCTGCACAATATAAAGTCTTTGACAACTTCAGTCTTTTCTTCATTTATCATGAAGTTATTTATTGGTCCTGTTGTGAGAATTTTTGTTTTCTTTACCTTCAGGTATAATCCGTACTGAAGGCTGTTGTCTTTGATTTTCATTGTTGTTGTTGGTACCATAGAGTCAGTTCTGCAAGGCTGCAGATCTTTACAGGAGCAGAAAGCCTCGTCTTTCTCCCACGGAACAGCTGGTAGTTTCAAACTGCTGACCTTGAGGTTAGCTGCCCGATTCGTAACCACTATGCTACCAGAGCTTTTGTTAAAAGTTGTTGTTGTTATGTGCCGTGGAGTTGGTTCCGACTCATAGCGACCCTGTACAGGGTTTCCGAGGCTGTAAATCTTTACGGGAACAGAAAGCCTCATCCTTCTCCCACAGAACAGCTGGCAGTTTTGAACTGCTGACCCTGCAGTTCGCAGCCCGATTCGTAACCACTATGTTACCAGATCTTTTTTAGTGTCTAAATCCTCTTTACTTCCAGCAAGCAAGGTTGTATCATCTGCATATTGCAGCTTGTTAATATGAGTCTTTCTCCAATCCTGATGCCACATTTTTTTATGTCAGATAATCCAGCTTCTCAGATTATTTGTTCAGTATACAGATTGAATAAATATGGTGAAAGAATACAGCCCTGGTACATACCTTTCCTGATTCCAAACCATTCAGTATCCAACTGTTCTGTTTAACAGCTGCCTCTAGATTAATGTACAGGTTCTTCATGAGTACAATTAGTTTTCTGGAGTACCTATTCTTCACACTGTTTCCCATAGCTTGCCATTATACACACAGTTGAATGTCTTTGCATAGTCAATATAGCACAATTAAGCATCTTTCTGTAATTCTCTGGTTTTAGCCAAGATCCGTCTGATGTCAACAACGATATCCCTCGTTCCGTGCCCTCTTCTGAATCAGGCGTCAGTGTACTGCAATGGTGGTTTTTGAATCAGCAGCAAAGTTATACTTGCATGTAATATTAATGATATTGTCTGATGATTACTGTTGAGTGGGATCTTTGGAATGGGCACAAATATAAATCTCTTCCATTTCTTGACCAGGAAGCTGTATTCCAGATTTCTCGGCATAGATGAGTGGGCACTTCCAGTGTTGCATCGATTCGTTGAAACATTTCAATTTGTATTCCATCAATTCCTGGAGCCTTGTTTTTCTCTATTATTATCAGTGCAGCTTGGAATATGTTACCTCTTGTTTTGTTGTTTTTGTTTTTGTTTTTAGTCCACTAGGTTTGTTTGTTTATAAGGAGCTCTGGTAGCATAGTGGTTACGAATCAGGCTGCGAACCTCAGGGTCAGCAGTTCGAAACTACCAGCTGTTCCGCAGGAGAAAGATGAGGCTTTCTGCTCCCGTAGAGATTTACAGCCTCAGAAAGCTTATGCAGGGTCACTATGAGTCGGAACCAACTGCACGGCACATAACAACAACAACAGCAAGGTTTATTTAGGAGTCCTGGTGTGGCACTGTGGGTTAATGTGCCAGACTGCAAAGTCATTTGAACTGTAAGTAGTTCAAGCTCACTAGCTGCTCCTCAGAAACCCTATACAGGGTCGCTATGGGTTGGAATCGACTCAATGGCACTTCACAACAACAACAGCAAGGTTTATTTAGGGAGGATCAGAGATTTGATATTAAAACAATGATCCATTTTTTAAAATTTATCTTACTATTTATTTGTTTGATTTTTTTTCTTTTAAGTTTTTATTGTGAACTGATAGTTTACAAGGGAGAACATCAGTTTTAAACTCACCATTTCATTGCAATGATTACAATCTCTTCCGTGAAACATCATTCAACAGTATTTGCTTCTATTTCCTCTGGTTTTGTTCTTTTGTTTTGTTTTATTTTAGTGGGGGATAATGTACACAAAAATACTCAGGAGTATATAATCATTTAAACAACCAAAGAGCACATTCTGCAAGCCTGCCTCCTGGCCACCAGCACACAGCCTTTCTCTTCCCATGAGTCCAGAATCCTCAGCTGCTCTCTCTCCATGTTCTCATCTCTATCTGTCGCTGCTTCTTTGGATGGGGTCCCCACATTCCGCTCTTGCTCTTCTTCCTTGGTAGTCCTGGGGTCAGTCCTCTGTCCCTGGACTGTAAGATTAACTGCTCCGCCCTTTTTGTTACAAAACTTCTACCTTTACAGTATCAATTAGTCATGATAACAATTACTTACTATTGAATCAGAAGAATCTTATACCCATCTCTTTTCACCAGACCCATCTAGACAAGATGAAAATGATTCATTGGGGATTCTGCCTTCCCCTGCCTACCTCTGAAACTAAATCCCCTCTTGAAAACTTGTAAGCCAGTCACCTAGTGCCTTTATAGCCCTCCCCCCCATTTTAGGTAGCCAATATCTAAGTTGCCCATCCCTATCAACCCTGTATACAGAGGGGATAGGATTGATAATTGATGTGAAGACTCCTTCCCTCTCAGTTGGTATTTAGAGCTACTACATTCATAAATATAGGTCAAGGTCATCAATTATAGCAGGTTAGACTTGTTTCCTTTATCAAATTTTTTTTTTTTTTAAATCTTCCTCTAGTTGAGTTCTGATCATCAATCCTTCGAAGCTAGGTAGAATGGGTACTATCTACAAGTTTGGGCATTCTTTTGTGTCTCCCCTCACTTCATATCAGCTGGACACTTCACTCTCAGCTCTTGCCCTCCATGGCTATGTCTTTGTCCATGGGCTCAGGAGTCGCCAGGTCTCACCACACTTCAGACCAACCAGACCTTCCTCTTCTCTCTCTCATCTCCAGGTCGATGAGAGTCTGTGGAACGTGGTTGAACTCAGCCCATATCTTCATTACTACCTTTCCCCCTCTTCCACTCACCAGTAGACCAGCATGGTTGCCAGCAGGCTTACATTCCTGCTCATGTGTTCCCTTTGAGTTTCAGTCTTGGAAGGGGGTTTGTCCTAAAGGGACTTGATTGCTTGCCTTGATGGCTCCCCGGCGAACAACTTGCTTGTTCTTGTAGTAGCCAATCAGACTACCATTTTTGTTTTGGATTTTTCCTGTTGGTCTTTCTTTCAGGAAATATCTTCTGTTTCTCTAGCAACTCCTGGCTAGTCTATATTCCTTTCAAGTGGGAATGTCCCACCTCAGATCTCAGTTCTTTCAGTTTGAGAAATGCTGAGCATTTTGGTTTTCTAATTCCAGGCCTTTGCACATTTTCATTAGAATACTTTGTCTTCTCAAGCTTCCCTTTGAAGCTTTTTGTTCAGCTTTTACTTCTTCCTTTCTTCTAGTCAATTTAGATTCAAGAGCAAGCTTCAGGGTCTTTTCTGCCATCCATTTCTGTCTTCTCTTTCTTTCGTGTCTTCTGAATGACCTTTTGCTTTCTTTCTGTATGATGTTCTTGGTGTCATCCCACAGCTCTTCTGGTCTTCAGTCATTTGCGTTTCATGCATCCAATCTGTTCTTGAGATGCTCTCTAACCCACTAGATGGGTTCAAATCACAGACCTTTGAGTTAGCAGCTAAGCACTTAACCATTTGTGCCACCCAAGAACTCCGTGTGTTGTCAAGTCTATTCCAACTCATAGTGGCCCCAGTGGGAATCACCAAACTAGGATAGAATAAGTTCACGTCAATAGCATGCTCAAGAGACGAGGTAAAGGAAAGTGGGTCTGCCAGGTGGATTAGAGTATCCACTGATGAGGCTCTAACCCTTGGGATGGAGTTGGCATGCTGCTTGCAGCCACTGACCATTAAGACCGTACCTTCTCTGAGGGCTCCTAACCCTCAAACCCAGCTAGAACCGCAAGACAAAGGCCAACTGGGCTTTGCCAGTTCGTCTACCTTCCTCTGGAATTCATGTCCGGTCTGTGAGAGCCTGAGTTGATCTGTCTTCTGCTCCAGTGGGCTCGTCCACCCTCATGACTATCGGGCCAATTAAATGTCCATTTACAGGTGATTTCTGTGGGTGTTTTATGGGCATGAGTACCTGCCTCCCAGGCAAGGCCGTTACCATGATTAATGAGGTAATGGGAAGAAAGCTAAGCCGAGTGAGCACCAAGCTCCAAGGCATGGTGCTCTTTAGGCACGTCCAAAAATACCTTTTCTGATTTCCTTAATGACAAAGACATTGAACTTGGATATTGATCTGCACGCCACCAACCCTGTGTGAGCCGAGGGTGGACCGGGTCTCACTGGTAATGGATATGTTGGGGAATGGACTACAGGGGGCACCAGTTTTGCCAGCGTGCAGTGAGTGGCTGTAATGGACTGGCACAGGTTGGGTCTTGGGCCACAATGTCTCTGGACAGCTGGCTGCCCTGGCATTGGGCAGAGGCTCCATGGTCAGCTGTCTGCAGGAGAGATCCTGGCAGGCTCCACAGACCTCCATTGTTGTGCCCGGAGCTGACCCATGAGCACGTAGAAGACAAACAAAAGCAAACAGCTTTCAGGAGGAGTCTTGCCAGCGTCGCCTGGCTCAGCCCGCTCTCTCTGGGTTTCATCCCCAGGTGCCGGGTCCTGTGGATGAAAATGTAGCCATGGGCTGTCAGTGGGATGTGGGTGCACGGGGTAGATGTCAGGGGCTGGGCCTATCCAAAGGTCAGGCAGGGTGGGCACAGAGGCAATCTCTTCCCTCCAGAACTCAGGGATTACATCAAAAGGCATCCCTGGGGCTCACTCCAAAGGAGAAAAGGCAACATCCTGGGACCCCAAGTGCAAGGAGCCTGCCATCCTCAGATCCCTGTCCTCCTGTCCTGAGCAGCATTTTCTTTATCCAGGCAGTGTCTAAACTCTAAATGGATGACTCAGAAGCTAGCCACCATGATCCCAGTCACACAATGGGCTAGGCATTGGGCTTCTGACATCTGAAAGATGTGTGCTCTGTAAAGATGACAGATTTGGAAACCCAAAGGAGCCCGTCTCCTCTGTCCTCTAGGGTCCCTGTGAGTGAGATGGGCTTGACGGCACTGGGTTTGGTTTTGCTGAAGGAGTCCTGGTGGTGCGGTGGTTAAGTGCTCGGCTGCCCTGCAGGAGGAAGAGAATGCATTCTGCTTCATAAAGAGGCCAGCCTTAGAAAGCCAAAGGAGCCCTTGGACTCTGCCCAACAGATTCCCTATGAGTGACTTTGCACTGCCAGGAGCTCTCCCTCCACCCACACTCCCCTTGGCATCTACCCCATGACAAGGGCTCTGACCCAGCACACATGGCACAGGGCTGCATCCAGGCTCCAGTCTGGCACTGGGGAACAAACCTGGCTGGCCTGTCCTCAAATGCCATTCCCACCCACTCCCCTCTCTGGCAGATCTATTACTGGGAGGCTGGAAGCCAGAATGAGACAGAGAAGATGAAAGTCCTCTTCCTCCCCGAGACCACGGTGAAGCTCAAGAACCTGACCAGCCACACCAAGTACCTGGTCAGCATATCTGCCTTTAACGCCGCCGGAGACGGGCCCACCAGTCAGCCCCAGCAGGGACGGACACAGCAGGCAGGTAGGGCCAACACCTGCTTTTATCAAGACCTCTGTTGGCTTCTTCATGTGCGGGTGCTGCTGGGACAGAAATGCCTGAGTGGGCGGCCAGGAGCTGGACCTTTCACTGAGCCGGGAAGAGGGGAACAGAGAGTAGGCCATGGCTGTCCCCAGCCCCACACCTGGCATCACACCTGACCTCATACCTGGCTACACACATGGCTGCACACTTGGCCGCACACCTGACCCCACACCTGCCAGTGGGTTGCCAGGAAGTCCTTTCAGTGCAGGATTCTCAGTCAGCTCCCAGACCGGAGCCGGCAGACATTGGTTGAGGTTTCAACCGAGGGACCAGGGCTGTGTCCTCTGAGATCTGAAGGCCCTGTGGTATTGGGGAGGGGAGAGAAGAGTGGGGGGCCAGCTGGAAGCTTGGAGAGGACAATAATGGAAGACGTAGACTAGGTTGGGTTAGGGGTGTTTTGGGACGATGTTTTGTGAAGAGAGAGGAGAGCATTGAAGGAGAGGCCTCATCCATCCCAGCTCCCCGCAGCTGCTGGAAGACCCAGCGGTCATTCTGTGCCCACCTTCTCCTCTGCCTCATGTTCACCCCGCTGCCATGTCTCCTATTCGAGCCCCTTCCAGCTGAAATGCCGCCATCATGGTCTCAGCTCCTCTCTGGAGGATCCAGGTTTCTAATGCATCATCAGAAGTTCCGGGGTGATCGGTAATCTTCTTCCTACCCTCTGGTGTGGAGACATGGCCAGAGATGGAAGCTGCGCTGAATAGCATGTTTTCTCCACACGAGGCACACATGTGGCCTTGAGGAGCTTCAGAGAAAGCCCCCTGTGTTCTGTCCTACAGCTCCTGGAGCCCCCAGCTTCCTGAACTTCTCAGAAATCACCTCCACCACTCTCAATGTGTCCTGGGGCGAGCCTGTGGCTGCCAACGGCATCCTTCAGGGCTACCGAGTGGTGTACGAGCCCTTAGCACCCGTCCAAGGTAAGACCCCTTTCTCTCCCATACTCCAACTTTTCCCCATTTCTCTTAGTCTTCATGTGTACTGATGCTGGAACCACGTGGGGAAATGGTGGCAGATGGGAAACCCCCTGTGTCTCAGAGGAGGCGCTGACAGCCTAGCACCCTCAGATAGTTCCCTGTCGCTCTCTCCATTCATTCATTCACTCAGCAGATATTTACTGCTGCTGCTGCTTCCCTTCCAGCACCTCTGGTGACCTCATGCAAAACACAGCAAAGTGTGTCCCAGCCCCGTGCCTGCTGCATGATCCTGGGTTTGCTGGAGGTCATGCTGTGGCCACTGTGTAGTCTGAGAATCTTCCAGGCCTCCTGGCTCATCTTCCAGCACTTTATAAGACACTGCTCTGTTGTGATGCATGGGCTTTTCATTGGCTAGTTTGGGAAGTAGATGGTTTTCATTCTAGACTGCCTTTGTTTGGAAGCTCCGCTGAAACCTCTATACCCTGGGTAACTCTGCTACTATTGACAATCTCAGTGGCATAGCTTCCAGCGTCACAGCACCATGAAGGCCACCACAGTAGACAGACTGACAGGTGGTGAGTAGGAAGATTTATTATACAGCACATTCATGATGTGCCACATGCTGTCCTGGATCTAAGAAAGCAAAGAGTTTGTTTAACAAAGACCCATTTTTGTCAGAACCTGGAGAATTCATGTTGCAGCAGCAAACACACAGTGGAAGTCAAATGAATGGACAGCACTGTGGTCAGCACTACACAGAGAGGGTTTGGGTGATGGAGGAGGCCGGAGTCATCAGAGGGACTAACAGGGAAGGTCTTCAGACAGGAGGCAGAACCCGTGCAAAGGCCCTGAGGTGGGCAAGGGCTGGATCTCCATGAGGGGAGAGAGTAACATGAGGTCCCAGGACCAGGGGAGCCCAGATGGAATTGGAACAGTGGGCCCAGACTCAGATAAGAGGTCACTGGCTGCTGATGGAGAGCGGGTTTGGGGGAAGGGGCCAACTGTGTCCTGCATGTAGGCTTGGACAATGATGGGGGAGGTGTGAGGAGTTTGGGTTAGGGAGGAGAAGCTGGGGAAGGTTGGCATTGATGTTGGCATGCCCCTGGCCATCAGTCCTGGGCATTGCTGTGTTAAAGTGTTACCTTACTTATATCCAATGTTATAAGAAATTGTTTATTTTTATTAATATCATAACACCAAAACCTGTTGCCATCAAGTCAGTTCCGTTCTTGGTGAGCCTCCGTGTTACAGTGTACAGCTGAGAGCCGTAGGATTTTCTTGGCTTTAACTTCTGCATGTATGGAGCCCTAGTGGTGCAACAGTCAAGCTCTCCGTGGCTAACTGAAAGATTGGCGGTTCAAACCCACCCGGTGACTTATAATTTAGGAAAGTCTACCAGGAAGCTCTAGTCTGTCCTGTAGGTTTTTAATGATTCAGAATCGACTTGAGAGCATCACAGTTTTAGATTTGTGGAAGGAGCCCCAGTGACGCAGCTTTAAGTGCCCAGCTGCTAACCAATAGGTCTGTGGTTCGCTGCCCCGAGTGTGAAAAGAGCTGGAGATCCACTCCCATAAAGATGATGGGCTCAGAAACCCTGTGAGGCAGATCTTCTCTGTCCTATAGGATTGCTGAGTGGGAACCAACTCAACGCAACACAACAGCCACCTCACAGAAGCAGAACACCAGGCCTTATTATTAATACAGTGCTGGTAGGTTCATCATAGGTAAACTTATTGCTTGTATATTAAGAGAAAGCTTCTCCTATTAAGCATATATTTCAGCCGTACGTCTGACTGATGAGGTCAGTCAGTGACTGTTTACCCTTCTGGACACTACAGCAAATGATCCTATTAAAGGGTCCAAGAGCAAAGATGTCGGTATGAGGACTGAGGTGCGCCTGATATAGGATGATATTTTCAATAGCCTCATATGCATGTAAAAGTTGGACGGTGAATAAGGAAGATTGTAGAAAATTGATGCATTTGAGTTATGGTGCTGGAGAATAATATTGAAAGTATTATGGACTGCCAGAAGAACAAACAAATATGTCTCGGGAGAAGTACGGCCAAGCATGCTCCTCAGAAGCGAGGATCGCGAGACTTCATCTCACATACTTTGGACATGTGATGAGGAGGGACCCATCCCTGGAGAAAGGAGCGCATGTTTGGTAAAGTGGAGGGTCAACAAAAAAGTGGAAGAGGTGAATTGACAAAGTGACAACGACAATGGGCTCAAATGTAACAAGAATTGTGGGGCTGACACAGGACCCAACAAGGTTTTGTTTGGTTGTGTGTAGGGTCCCTGTGAGTAGGACTGACTCGAGGGTACCTAACAACAACGGCAACTACAACATAGAGAAGGCTCATGCACCCAGCAGCCTCCACCTACTGGTCAGGCCGACTTCCCCGTATCATCTACATGGACCGGCATTATTGTATGTGGTGGTGTTTTTGCTGTAAAGTTCCATCAAGTCAGTTCCAACTTAGAGCAACCCTGTATATGATTTCCCAGGCTGTAAATCTCTGATAGCATAGTGGTTATGAATCGGGCTGCAAACCTTAAGGTCAGCAGTTCGAAACTACCAGCTGCTCCACGGGAGAAAGATGAGGCTTTCTGCTCCCATAAAGATTTACAGCCTTGGAAACCCTGTACAGGGTCGCTATGGGTCGGAACCGACTCGACGGCACTTAACAACAACAAATCTTTGTGGGAACAGTAAGCCTCATCCTTCTTCCACGGAGCGGTTGGTGGGCTCAAACCACTGACCTTGTGGTTCGTAGTCCAGTGTTTAGCCCACCAGATGCTATTGGTTCTCTGTGTAAATCAGTGGTGGAAGTTTTCTTTTAAAATACATACAATCGAATGACATGCTGCGCACACACACACACACTGTCACACACATACCCCACACACTCATACATACACATACTGCATATCCACACTCCCACACACAACAGTCTCTCACCTACTGCATATTCACACACACACACCTCATACACATGCCACACACTCCCCCTTCCACTTCACACTCACACACCAAACACACACCATGCACTCTTACACACATACTACACACATACGCACCACATACACATGCCACACACACACACATACCACACACCACGCATTCTCACACAAATACTATACACTCACACCTCATACACATGCCCCACACATACCACACACTCACCACACACTCACATACACCACACACTCACATTTACCCCACATAGTCACACACAAATCACACATACACATACTTTCTCATATAAACCCCACACATTCAAGCACATACCACACACACTCTCCCACATGCCACACACTCATATAACACACACTACACTCTCCCACATGCACATACACATATCTCACACACACTCATATACACGCACCCACACACACACTTGCTATACACATACAACACAAAGCACACAATCTCATACACACACAACCCACACACACATGAACTCATACTCTCACACATATACCACACACACACACTTGCACACATACCATATTCACTCATATATACTCACACTCAACATCCATGCACAGACACACACACATGAACTCACATACTTCCAAACATGCCACTCACACCTACAATTAGACACACATATATACACTCGCTTAGGTACTCACACACACCACACACTCACAAATACCACACACTCACACACACCTATCCCACATATTGCACACTTAACAGATACACAGTAACACTCACACAATCATGCTCCATCACACTCATGTACACACATGACGCTCTACACACACACATATACTCACATACAATCGTGCACACACATGCACACTAGTACACACAAAGGCATGTTTGTATACTCCCACACACACTGACACTTACACATACTCTCACATGCCCCCACACAAGCACACAAACACGCACATACGAATACACATTTACACACATGTACATTAACACACTCACGTCATGCTTGATAAAGTGGAGGGTCAGTGACAAAGAGGAAGATCCCTCAGGAGATGGTCTGGCACACTGGCAGGAGCAGTGACCTCACAGGTGACGATGGTGAGGACGGCGCAGGACTGGTCACGCCCTGAACAACAACAACAACAACAACAACAAGCAGGAATTGATTGTCTCACAGTTTAGGGGCTGGAAGTCTGAATTCAGGGCCCCAGCTTCAGGGGAATGCTCTCTTCATGCCAGCTTGGGAGGAAGCAAGTACAGGTTATTGGAAAAATGGCATTGAGAGATGTGCTGGACATTGAGTAGCCACAGACCTTCCATTTATAAAAAACAAAATCTTCAAAGCTTAATAAAACAGTTAAAGGGCCTGTACCCACTGGGGTCCAATTGCCCAGTGCCCAGCCACACCTCCCAGCACCCGGCCACACCTCACAGTGCCCACCTTCCAAAGTCTGCAAGGCTGGCACAATCCAGTCACCAGGAGCCAGACGCCACGTTCTTGGGAGTCTGATTGTGTGGCCGAGCTATTTTTATGCTTTTAAAAAACTGTTTTAAATGGCAATATTTTTACATGATTGTACCCTGAGGCTTTGCAGTCCAGGGCACGGTTTAAAAATTGACTAAATAAATAAAGTTCTGACACATGTGAAACGCTACCTCCTACTAGGGTAAAACTCACGAAATCTTCATGCAGTTTCCTGTTTGCTCCAGGGAGAAGCCGGCAGGCCATTGCTCTCCACAACAATTCTACATCCCACAGAATCTGCCTGTTGGCTGGAGGCAGGCATCATACATGCAAATTGTTGTCCACACAAGATGAGGACATTCTGAGAAGACCTGACCCCATTTCTCTGCAGAAAAGTCCACATTTGGACTGTCACTGGGATAAAAGTAGTCAAAAGAAAACATGTTTTATAAAGAGGCATAATGAGGACACAGTGAGACAGTGAGAAGGTATTGGTGGACATCAGGTTGGAGAATTTTGCTTTGAAGACTTTGATAGGTGGACCTATTGGGTAATAAGTAAGAAGCAACTTCATTCAGTTTTGCCTCTGCTGAGATTAAAAACCAAAATCTAAACACACTCCCATCTAGTCAGTTCTGGCTCATAGCAGCCCTGTGAGACAGAGGAGAGCTGCCCTGGGGGGTTTCCAAGACTGAAAATGTTTACCGAAGCTGACTGCCTCCTTTTCCTCCCTCAAAGAGGCTGGTGGGTCCGAACTGCAGACCTTTCTGTATAATACTGTAAGACTCACCTGGTGACCTTGTTAAAATGTAATTCCAGATTCAGTCTATCTGGGGTGCGGAGGAAAATTTCCAGCAGGGGGTAGAACCAGGAAGAACTGGTTCTAAGCCCTGGCAACTGGGGTAGTGGGTTTTCATTGTTGTTTGGTGGGGTTTTTTGTTTTATTTTGTGTTATGTACGGATCAGAGGATTTCCTGGGTGATGTAAATGGTGAATATGCTCAGCTATTAACACAAAGTTGAACAAAAAGACTTGAATATGGCCGTTCAAGTCTTCCCAGAAACAACTTGGAAGAGAGGGCTGGTGATCTTCCTCAAACCAGCCAATCCTCAGTTCTCCTCTGACTCATGTGAGAACACCGTGAGCCAGCACCAACAGGATGACCATTGATTGGGGTGACGAAATTAGGGAGCTCACAGTAACCGATGAGAGTCACACAGGAATGTATATAATTCTGAGCCACATGGGAAGGGGATATTTTCTAGAATGTTCTGCAGGGAGCCATGCTTCTCCCCTCCTCCGCTGAGAGACTGTTCACTTCTTCTCCCCCCCCACCGGATGTTGTTAGTGAGGTGACGCACCTTCTCCCCATTGTGTAGTGACATTAGGGTGGTGGTTGTGAGTTGTCTTTTTTTCCCTTTGCTAGAACTCACTTATCAAGCTTAAACCCTAATTACACTTATCTGTGCTGAAAATTAGCTATTATCACTGCTAATTGTGAGAAATAGTTTCTCAGCACACTGAAGCCTCGTGTCCCTAGCTCTCTTCTCGGCTCCACAGAGGACCTGAGACCCTCCTCCACCTACACCCCCCTCTTCTCTTCTCTTTGCTTCTGGATGGTCCCAGGGGTCAGCAAGGTGGTAACAGTGGACATTAAAGGAAACTGGCAACGTTGGCTGAAAGTACGGGACCTCACCAAAGGTGTGACCTACTTCTTCCGGGTACAAGCACGCACCATCACCTTCGGCCCTGAGATTCAAGCTAACGCCACGGCTGGTCCAGCAGATGGTAAGTGGAGTTCTCGGATCAGGTGGTCCAGTGGCTGTGTGCTGCTAGCAGCTGGGGTCCATCTGCAGGTTCAACAGAACATCTCAGTCCCCACCTAAACTGTGACGTGGGCACGCACTAGAACCAAGTTTCTGCAGTTGGATTCGAACTGTCTTAGTTCCTTAATGCTACTGTTGTTGTTCAGTGCTATTGAGTCAGTTCTGACTCAGCGACCCTGTAGAGCATTTCCAAGGAGTGACTGGTGAGTTTGAGCCACCGACCTTGCAGTCCAGTGCTTTATCCCACAGCGCCACACCAGGACTCCTTCAGCAGACAGAAATGTATTCTCTCACGATTCAGGAGGCTGGGGGTCTGAACATTCTCTCCCTCTGCTAGTTCTGCCAGAAGGGCCTGCTTGCAGTTTTCGACATCTGTCTTCCCCCATCTCTGCTCCCTTTTTCGTGCCCATCTACACATGTGGTATCTCAGAAGTGACCAGCACTGATGTGGCACAACAAAGAAAACCCCTGTTCCCAAATGGGACTCTTCAGGGGTTAGAGTTCCAATACATATTTTCAAGGGAACAGATCAATCCATAACACTTGTTAACGATGTTGCTGGTGTCGAGTGCCGCCAAGTCAGTTCTGACTCACGGTGACCCTGTAGAGGGTTTCTGGGAGTTCTGGTATAGTGCTGTAGGATAACCACTGGACTGTTAACCACAAGGTCAGCTGTTCAAACCCTCCAGCCACTCCTTGGAAACCTTATATAGGGTCACAATGGGTCAGAACTGACTTGACGGCACTTAACATTGTTAGTTTTTCTAAATGAACAAGAAAATGTGAACACTCTTTTGTTGTGAGGAGGGACGCATAACTTCCCATGTAGCAAGTAGCTCGGGCCTCAGCAAGGGTGGCAGAGCAAATGTCAGGGGCTACACCTGTCAGCCCCTGAGCACGGGGCCAGTGACCCTGTTCCATGTTTAGATGAGGAAGCAGTGGTGGAACACAGAGCAGACCCCCTACTGGATGACATGACAACATCCCTACAATGCCAGCCTTGGTGTCCTTTCTGCCCACAGGCTCCCCAGGCGCCCCAAGAGATGTCACAGTCACCAAATCCACTTCTGAGCTGACCCTGCAGTGGACAGAGGGGAACTCGGGCAGTACTCCCACCACAGGCTTCGTCATAGAGGCCAGACCCTCAGGTAGGAGCAGGGCCTCGGTCAGGTAAGGGAGGAAGGGCCCTCGGCCTGGAACATTTGCCCTGTTGGCCAACTAAGCCGAGAAGAGCGTCTCTCCGGCTCCGATTGGAATTGTCATTCTCAAAACCGCACAGGAGGCCAGAGGGAGATGGACTTGCCTGTGAGAGCTAAGGCGTTCTTGCGGTCCAACCTCAGGGTCCTAGACACTCCGGGACAGTGTCTCAATTTCACTCCCTCCTCTGTGCAACCCGGGAATTATATTTCCTTCTTCCTCCCCAACTTTAGTAACTGGTGTGTGAGTATTATGGGAAAACAATAGTGTGATGGGTCAAAGTCATACAGGAAAGGACCTGGGGTCCGGTCAGGTATTACCTCTCGGGGTAGGAATACTGGGCAGGTCTCAAATGACCATCAAGTTACTGAAGGTTAACTGTGGATACCTTAGCATGAAAGTGCTGAACTATGCAACAAAAAGTTAACAGTTCAAATCCACCCAAAGGTGCCTCAGAAGGAAGACCTGGCAATCTATTTCTGAAAGATTGCAGGCACTGAGTCACCCTTCAGACCTCAGGGTCAATGTTCAGCCACACAATTGACAGGCCCATAGGGGAACAGTAAGAACATCAGGGAGGAAGGAAGTCCTTGGTCAATTAGCTATAGTAAGGGCAGCTTAGAAGGCTGGGGAAGGACGAACGGAAATGGGAAACACAGGGGGGAAGTGGCAAGAGATGTTCCATTGTGGGGACTGCAGTCAATGAGATGACACAAAATGTGTCTGAATTATGGGATGGAATATTAATTGACTCTGTCAACCTTCACCCCATTCACAATAACAAGGTAAAAAAAGAGAAACTAACCGGAAACTAAAATGATTAAAGAAGTGACAAAATGGGAAAGGTCACAGCCATGAAAACCCTGTGGTCAGCGGTGAGTCAGGGTGGCCAGCGTGCATTTGGGAAGTGTCATTCCATCCCATGCTGCCAGGCTGACAGCGCTGTAGTCGAATGGTTAAAGACGCCATTAGGCAAAGTCAGTGTTGGGAGAAGCACAGCCAGAATACTCCCTAGAAGCGAGGGTGGAGTGACTTTGTCCCACATGCTTCAGACGTATCATCAGGAGGGACGAGACCTTGGAGAAGAACGTCATGCTTAGTAGAGTGGAGGGTCAGCGAAAAAGAGGAAGACCCCCAGTGAGATGGATTGGCACAGTGTGAACAGCAATGATGGGGAGGCTGGCGCGTGACCGGGCAGTGCTTTGTTCTGCTACGTGCAGGGTTTCTTTGGATTGGAACTGACTCTACAGCACCTATCCACAACATTGTTCAGTGCCATCGAGTTGGTTCTGACTCACAGCAACCCTGTATGGGGTTTCCAAGGAGTAGCTGTGAGCTTGAACTGCCAATCTTGCCGTTCAAACCAACCTTGCAGTCTAACACATTGCCCCCAAGAAAAAACCTGAGTTAGTGAATGCATTTGGCTGCCAACGAGAAGGTTAGAGGTTTGAGTTCTACCCAGAAGTACCTCAGAAGAAAGGCTTGGCAGTCTGCTATAAAACCAGCTGTTAAAAACCCTACGGCACACAGTTCTACTCTGACCCCCATGGGAGCATCATAAGTTGGGGCCAACTGGAGAGCAACTGGGAATTGGTATGAGACCAGGAAAACCAGTCCCAAAAATCATACATTACTTTTTTTGCTGCCCACCCCCACCATTCCTCGAAATGATTTTGAGTGAAGACTAGTTAGAAATGCCTTCTGGAAACTTCTGAGGAGAGACCCAGGGCATAAGGCCAAACCCCTTTCTATTTAAAGGCACTTTGAAAAAATGTTGTCTGGAGCAGTCGTAAATGCAGACCTGCTAGCTTGGCAGGTCCTAACTGTATCTGTGGAGAGCTATTTGGATGGTTGTAAAGACAGGAGGCCCCCAAATCAGAGAGGAGATTCTGGTCTGGGCAGAGCACAGGGTGGATCAGCCAGTGTGAAAGTGAGGGTCAGGATGCTCAGAGGTAAGCACTGAAGATGTAGTAACTCCCCATGATGAGATCTAACATAATGTAATCACGGTCATCATGTGATCTGCTGCGATCGGCCATGATCTGAGATCATTATCCTGTGTGTTGTGAATCCTGACTACTAGCTTGTTAATGAGGCCTGATGTAATCTACAGGAGTAAGTTATCTCTTGAGTGAATTAATCTCTTCTGAAATATAAAAAAGACTAAACAAGAAAACAGAGCTCAGAGGGACATACTGCCACCAAGATAGAAGGGCCAGGAGGGGAGTGTGTCCCTGTCCTGTGAAGCGCCTAGATCCAGGCACAGAGTGATGCCAGGGATAGCTCCAAGGAAGGCTGAAAGGAGACAAGGACCTTGCCCCAGAGGTGGTAAAGTTTGGATTTGGACTTCCAGCCTTCTAAACTTTGAGAGAAATTTATTTCTGTTTGTTAAAGCCACCCCCTTTTGGTATTTCTGTTAAAGCAGCACTAGAGAACAAAGAATGTATTGACTTACAGTGAGCAAGGTAGGCACAGGTTTAAGATAAGGACACTTGTGCAAGAGAACAAAGAACCGTCTTAACGAAGCAGCTTCTTTTGTTGAAATGCCTGCCTCTTGAGTACGGAGTCAAAACCCTTGGGTGTCTGCCTGTAGAAAGGCACAGGAGGGATTCTTGTAATGATGATAGTATTCTGTATCTTGACCAAGTGGCGATAGTGTTCCACAAATGTGCAGGATGAACTTCAAAGACTACGGTGCACCTGACCCAAGACATGGTCTTCTCAATTACCAACTGTGCATGCGGAAACCAGATGATGAGAAAATAAGTCAAGAGTAGAAGGGTGCATTTAAACTGTGATGTTGGTGAAGAACTGTAAGCCACGGGTTGCCCGAAGAACAAACAGATCATCAGTCTTGGCAGAATACAATCAGCATACACCTCCGATGTGATGATGGCAAGACTTTGTGAGGCACTTAGTTTGGCTACGTCATTGGGATAAAGCAATCACTAGAAAAGAGCACCCTGGTTGGTAAAGTCGGGGGTCATCGAAAACAAGGGAAACCTTCAGTGAGATAGAGTAACACATTGGCTACCACGCTGGGGCTCAGGTATATCAATCAGTAGTGGTGAAGATGACGCAGAAGGTGGAGCAACATTTTGTTCTGTTATATTTGGGTGGTCACCATGAGTCAGAGCCAATGCCATGGCAACTGCCAACAACCAACAGTGGGGAGAAGACGAGGCCAAGTACCCAATAAACAAAGTCTTGGTCTTGCTTACTAATTTGTAGTGAACAATTTCAGCGGGATTTCATGTGGTGAAAAATGTGGGAAATTGTTCCTTACAGATTAAGTAGTAAGCACAAAGAAATCCATGGTTACCTCGTTTGCTCCATCCAAAGATGTTCTGTAGGAAAGTGCTGTGGGGCTGGAGAGAGACAGATGCTCACTGTAGATTAGTAAGCAAGCACACACTTACCTTGTTTATTGGATCACAACTGGGACACTATTGTTGTTAAGTGCCCTTGAGTCAATTTCAACCCATAACGACCCTGTATAGGGTTTCCAAGGAGAAGCTGGTGAGCTTGAACCAGTGACCTTGCAATTCAAATGACTTTGTAGTCTGACGCATTAACCCACAGCGCCACAACAGGACTCCTAGTGATATCAAAATAGAAAGTTCACTTGACATTTAAAAAGCCCTGAGCTGCTTGATTCTGTGAAGATCAGTGATGGTGGTGGTTGTGTGCGGTGGAATCAGTTTGCCCTCATAGTGACTTGGGTAGGGTTTCTGAAGCTGTAAGTCTTCACAGGAGCAGAAAGCCTCTTATTTCTCCCATAGATGGTAGATTCGAACTGCTGACCTTGCGATTAGCAGCCTAGCTCATAATCCACTACACAGCAATAAAAACCCTCTGAGGCAGTTTCTGCTTCGTCCAGCAGGATGGCTGTGAGTCAGAATGGGTCCAACAGCAGCCATGGGTTCGGTGCTTTATCTTGGAGGGATTTTGCTTTCACCTCCCATTCAATGCTCAGCACTGGGAAGTAGGTTGGCACAGAAGTTCCCTCTTGCCTGACTTGGGTGTCCCTCCTTCCATGGAGAGTTGAGAGAAACGTGTCCCTCCGTTCGGTGTCTCAGCCAGCAGCAACTGAGAGGCGAATGCAATGCTTTTATGGATTGTCAATATTTAAACACCTCACAGTACCTTGGGGCTTGAATCTCAGCTGCCATCTATTATAGGCCTCATTACACAAAACATTAACTGCCGAGTGTCGCATTTTCTCCAACGAAGCGTTTTGGCAAGACCTTCTCCAGGCTGGGAAATGGTTTAGGACAGACGCCTGGTTGGCCCCAGCGCCAGGTTCAGCATGTGGTCCTGTTTTGTGTTGAGAGGAGAGAGTATTTTTAGTATGAGGGGGCAGTGGTGGCTCAGTGGTGGATTTCTCACCTCTCATGCAAGAGACCCTGAGTTTGATTCCTGGCCAGTGCTCCAGATACGCAACCACCACCTGTCTGTCTGAGGAGGCCTGTGTGTTGCTGTGATGCTGAGCAGGTTTCAGTGAAGCTTCCAGACGAAAACAGACTAGGAAGAAAGACCTGGCTATTGATTTCTGAAAATCAGCCACTGCAAAACCTGTGGATCTTAAGGACCGGCCAGTGTTTGTGCATATGGTCGCCAAGACTCAGATGTCATCTTGACAGCAATTTACCACGACAACACAATGACAAATCTTGATATGGGATTTCCCTTAGGTGTGGTGTTCATGGGATAAGCATTGTATCTCAAGGTCATTTGAACTGCAAGGTCGATAGTTCAAACTCACCAGTCAACCCTTAGAAACCCTATACAGGGTGGCTGTGAGTCAGAACCAACTCAACGACACTCAACAACAGCCCTGCCATGGTAGGACGTCCTCAACTCTGGGTTCTTAAGGAGATTGAGGAACGTTGAGCTGAGCAAATCTCAAGGCCCCAGGGCAGCTGCTTGGTCTGATGTCTTCCCGAGCCTT